AGATCGCTCGACTCCGGCGCCCGACTCCGTCCCCGGCCGCGCCCGCGTGGCCCGAGTCGTCCGCGCCCTCGTCGCCGTCGTCGTCGCCGTCGTCTGGCGTGGCTGGCCGCTTGAGCGAGGAGCGTCCCGACGCGCTGAGCGGCAGCCTGCCCGCCCTGAGGAGCGCCTCCCTCTCCCTGGCGAGCGTGGCGTGCGCCTCTTTGAGCGCCGACTCGCGGGCTCCCTTGCGGATCCACTCGACAAAGTTCTCGTACATGAAGTGCTGCTGCGGGCCGACGACGCAGCCGGGCCGCATGAGGCGCATGAAGCCGATGACCTCGGACGCGGTAAAGCCGTGCTTCCAGATGAGGTATCCGCCGATGAGGACGCCGGTCCTGCCGAGGCCGGCCTTGCAGTGGACGGCGACGACGCCGCCGGCGCCGACGACCTCGTCGGCCTTTTCGATGAAGCGGTAGAGGATGGCGTCGCTCGGGTTGGAGCCGTCGTCAAAGTAGAGGTCGAGGTGCTCGATGCCCGCCTCCTCGAACGCCACCTTGTCGTAGAGCGGGTTGTTGAGCCGCACGACGAGCTTGACGCCGCGGTCCTTGAAGTGGCGGATGGTGTTGGCAAACGCCGAGTTGGGCTTGGGCAGGTAGCTCTCGCGCAGCGGGCGGCCCTCGCTCTGGCGCAAGGCCGCCACATAGTCGCGGTCGTTTGGGCTGGCAAACGCGATAAAATTGGGGGTGAGCCAGTTCCAGTCGCCGTTCTGCACCTGCTCAAAGTGCTCGTACTCGTCGAGATTGAACGTCGTCAGGTCGAGCAGGTTGAGCGTGATGGCCTTTTGCATGCCGTAGAGGATGTCCTGGTGGCCGGTGTTGGGGGGAGGGAGGTTAGAGCGCATCAGCGACAGCCGCGGCGTGGCATCCTAGCAGCGGGGCCTGGTGCCCGGCGCTCACCTGGATCGTGAGGTAGAAGTCGGGTCGGCCGTAGCCCGCGTCCCGGAACGGCTCAAACTCGAGCTGCCGACAAGGAGTTGGCCAAGGGTGGGGGAGCGAGCGAGCATCAGTGATGGACTGTGTGGATCGGAGCGGGAGGCATGCGTCGGTGACCCACCTGGCTGAATGGGTGGAAGGCGTCGGCGGGCGTCACTTTGTCGATGATCATGGCGTAGAGCGCCGCCAGCAGCGCCGTGTTCGCCTTGCTGTACGAGGCGTCGGCTGTATAGAGCACCAGGCGCTCGACCTGATCCTCGGACTGGCGGGCGCAGGGTGGGAAAAGGGAGGAGAACTAGGAGTCAGGAGCCACGTCGACGAGCCGCGTCGCCGATCGACCAGACAGCTGAAAGCCGGAACGAGCACCCACAGTGAGGAGATGGTGGACGTGGAGGCAGAAGCGATAGAACATGGCCACGTTGAGCGGGCCCCAGTCGTCAAAGAAGCTGAGATAGACGAGGTCGTTGTCGACGTTGAACCAGTGGTAGCGGCCCGCGTCGGCGCTGGGTGCGGCGAGGCGGCCATTTTTGCGGTTGAGGAGCGCCGGAGAGGGGGCAGGTTCGGGGAAGTAGGTGAACCATAGCCGGCGCGAAACCTGGATGAGGTCGTGCGAGGGCTTGGGGGCGTTCGGATGGGCAGACGAGGCCGTCGCTGCGCTGCGGTGGCCTGGCGGTGGTGGAAGCGACAGAGAGGGGGAAGAGGAGGCACAAGGCAGAAGAGGAAGGGAAGACAGTCAGTCACCGTGCCGCTTAGCGGGAGACTTTGCCAAGCGCGAGGGAAGCAACAAGTCTGCTCGGAGGGTCGCTGCTCACCTCGCTTGATCTCGGACGGGTGCGGCTCTGCCAGGATGGCCTGCTCGATCTCGCGGTCGGCGGCGTCCTGGTCGTGATCGACGTCGCTGTCGAGAAAGTCGGAGTCGTCGGGGGCAAAGGTGGGAGCGGTGTGCTGCTCGAGCGTGACCGAGCTGGTGGAAGCCATGGTGAGATCGAGAGGAGCACGAAGGGAAAAGGGCGAGTCCGGTGGGAGGATGGCGACGGGAGGAAGGGTGGCGTGTGAGGCTCGCTCGAGCTAGCGGCACTGTCGAGGGCCGTCAGGCGAGACTGGGCCACGGTGCAGTCGGGAGCCGACGCCGAGCGGGGGCAGGGCACTTTTGAGCGCTGCCTCGACGCTGCTTGCGGCAAGTGGCAGGCGCAGGGAGCCGAGGGCGGTCAGGGACGGCTCGATGATGACGGCCGCGCTGGCCAATACAGGTGGGCGATCGAAGGCAGGTCAGAAGACAATAGCTGCCGAAGATGAGGCGCTGCGGGAGGGGAACGGTGAGCGGTACAGCGGCGGGCGGCGGGCGGGGGCGGCCGAGAGCGAGACTAGGCGGATATGAGCGGCAAGAGAGCAGAGCGAGAGAGGGTGAGAGAAGAGGAGTGCCAGCCTGATGACAGCGGCAGGGAGGATGGCGCTGGCGATGGCGTTGGTCGGGTGATGAGGGTCGGGAAGGTCGAGGTGGCTGCGGGTGTTGGTCGTCGAAGAAGCGACGTGAGTGGGTGGGGGCGGGCGGGCGTGGAGAGTGTGTTTTGATTTTGGGCGGCTGCAGCTGGAGACAGAGCAGCAGGCGAGGCAGGCAGGCAGGCAGGCAGGCAGCTAGCTCGCCTGCCTCGGAGGGCAGCCCAACAGGCCAAGCAACCAACCAGGCAGGCGAAAAATGGCGCGCGTCGGCCCGCCGCCCGGTCTGCCAGGGTCCAGCCAGCCAGCCTGCCTGCCTGCCTGTCAGCCTGTCAGCCAGCCAGCCAGGCGGGCCCCGCCGTTTCTTCTTGCCCCGCCCAGACGACCGGATCCCATCGAGCCTGGCCACGCCGCCGCCGCCGCTGCCGACGCTGCTTGCTTGCTGCCCCTTGCGAGCAACGTCGCCGTCGAGCTGCTGGCTCTGGCGTAGAGCGCCCCGTCACTGACCATCGCCCATCGCACACGCTCCTGTGCTGCCTGGCGACCTCCGTCTGAGCAGGCGACCTAGGAGCAGGTCTGGCTCGTCCAGCCGCCGGGAGGGCCTCTCGCAGCACACGCGTTGCGGCCAGGCAAGCAAGCAAGCAAGCAAGCGGAGCTCAGTCATGGCGCGGCGACCAGGCTCAGTCGGGTGGCTATCCGTGCCAACGCCCTCAAGGGGTCAAGGGGCAAGGCAGACCTCGCAGTACGTCGACGCTGCCCCCGGAAGTCGGCCAGGGATGGCTATATTGCCACAGGGCCGTCAAGGGAGCCGCCGAATAGGACGATCGACGAGCGAGGCCAGGGAATGGCGACTGTGGCGACACGCAGCTCGCACGTTCGGGCCGGGGGGGCAGGAGGCCGAGACGACGCTGCCACCAACTGGAATGACCGTCACGTCCTCGGAGCTAGGTCGCTTGCAAAGCAAAGACGTCGAGCACACCCCTTGGGTTGCGATCCGCGGCAGCAATGCCTGACGACGCGCGTCCCTGGCCCCGGCACTGAGCGCTGTGGGCTGCCTCGTGCGTCGCCGGCCGGTGGCGAGGCAGGTCGTTTGCACCTCCTGAGCGCTTGGGATCGAGCTCGACAACGGCGATGCCAGTCAGTCGACGGCGAGGAAGCCCGGCCCGTGCGCCGTGGGCCAAGAGGCAGCGGTAAACGACGAGAGGCGCAGCTCCTCTTGGTGCAATCGACGCACTGCCCTACCTTGGCTTGGCCATGCCAACGGAACTTTGCGCGCGGAGGGGGCCAAGCGAAGAGGTGCCAACGCGCAAAGGCAGCCGGGTCTCATTCGAGGCTCGACCTCGACCTGGCAGCGGGGGCGGGCCGACCGACGGGCAGCGCTGGGCTATGATGCGATGCCCGCTAGAGGCCACACGCCTGCCTCTGGCTCTCCGACTCGGCCACGGCGTGCGCGTGGCGGAGCAGCCGACGTCGACCCAGCGGAAGGCGCTCTCGGGTACGACTCTGCCGCTCAGAGTGGCCGTCGCCGTCGCTGTCGTCGTGGTACTTTGCGCAATCACGGCTGGGTGGGGAGCGAGGCTGTTGGGGAAGGAAAGGCGAGAGCGCGGCTGGGCCGAACCGTGAGGCAGGCCTGACAGCAGCCGCTCAGACGGGCGCCGCGTGCATGGGCCCCACGGGCGGCTTTGCCCTGCCTCCACCTTGGCTTTGACCTGGGGCCTGCCAAAAATCAGAGGAAAATGGCCAATGACGCACGGCGTGCCTGCCTGCCTCTAGCAAGGGCCCCGCCCACGGACCATCGGCTGACTGCTGCCTCGACCCTGGCTTCGCTCGCCTCGCCCTCGCCCTCGCCCTTTCCATCCATCCAGCCGGTGGCCCTCTGTCGGCTTGCTTCCGACCGACCTTGCTTTCTCTTTGACCACCACCACCACCACCACCACCCGCCCGCCATCGCTTCATCGAGGCTGCGCCGCCATCGTCCTCCATCCCCCGTGGGCAAGCAACCTCACCCTCGTCTGCCACCTCGATAGCCAGGCCCTCCTCGAGCAGCCTCATCTCTGGCGTTCCCCCCCGCACTCAACTCTCCAAGCCCCCTCTTTCGCTCCCTCCAAGCGCCTCGCACTCGAAGTTCAAGGTCCCCTCTCCTTTGCTCCCTCCCTTTTTTTCTAGCGCCACCCGGCAATGACGTTCGACGTCATGGACAGGGCCCCCATCGCGGGCCCGGACCAGTCGAGCTACCGCTCCCTCGTCTACGCCCTCTTTGAGCCCAACCTCGCCATCCTCGCCGCCTACCTCGCCATCAACCTCTACATCGCCACAAAGGCGCTCCGCGTAGCCACACGCAGCTACGCCACCACCACCCTCATCGCCCCCCTCGCAGATGCCGCCGGTCAGGACCACGCCATCGACCACCCGGACACCGAAGGCGAAGGCGACGACGGCACGCGCCCCACCAAGTCCGACACGCGCGCCACCGAGCTCCTCGTCGGCATCTCGGCCTGGGCCTTCAAGAATGACGCCCGCAACGCAAAGCGCATCACCGCAATCCTCGCAGTCGCGAGCCTCGTCTCTACCTGGAACTAGTGAGCAGCCGGCGTCGTGTTCCGTCACTCCCTGCTCCTGCTGCCTTTCCGCCCACTCACGCCGGTGACCTCAACGTGCCTGATCCTGCCCACATCCTGCCCGCCCAGCATGTTCGCCTTCCTCTTCCACTCCTACCGCGCCTACATCGCAAACTGCCACCTCACCTCGTACCCGCTCCCGCCCGCGCCGCCGCCGCTGAGCTGGGACCAGCCGGACCTCATCGTCCCCTCGCTCCACCTCCGCCTCCTCAGGATCTCGCAGTGGCTCGGCTCGCTCAGCCTGTTTGAGCAGGCTTGGCTCGAGGTCGTGCGCGACAGCAACGCCTGGTGGTGGAGCAGCGAGATCTGCATCATCACCGTCGGCAGCTGGGCCGTCTTTTTGCGCAGCGAAGGTGAGCCTCGTCGCACACGCGGTCCAGATCGCCCATAGCAAGGGCTCCCTCGGGCTCGACTAGCTGACCCGCTCCTTGGCCCCTTGCTTCTTGCCATCCCCCCGGCGTCGCCCTCAGCCAAGCGCCTGAGGATCCCGCACGTCGCCACCTTCATGCTGCTCGGCCAGCTCGTCGCCATCAGCTTCGCCTTCAACCTCTTCCAGCTCGCCGTCATCTACCGCCTCGACGCGCAGGACCTCGTCCCCGCATCGCCCCGCGCCGGCACCGTCAAGACGACCATCACCATTCAGCCCGCAGAGGCGCCCCAGAGGCGCGAGCTGGCGCGCTCCGAGTCCGAGCTGCTCATGCCTCCGCCCATGTCGCCGCCGAGCCACAGCCACGGCCGCTCCCACGCCGCCGGACGCGCCTCGCACAGCCCCGCCAAGACGACGGCCACGGCCTCGACCACCGTCCAGCGCATCCCGATGGCGCCGCGCGCCACGCTCTCGGTCAAGGCGGGCGCCCTGCTGAGCAGGCTGGTGCCGGAGCGCATCGCCATGCCCCTCTTCCTGCTCGGCGGGCTCTACTCGATCTTTTCGGGACCGGACACGCTGGCAAAGGTGCTGGTGATGCACGCCTTCCCCATGCTCGCGGTCCTCTACCCGCTGCGCCGCTCGACGGCGCGCAAGCTCAAGAGCAGTGCCGCCTTTGGCCACCCCCTGGCCACGGCCGGCGACAAGGCGGCCGCCACGAGGTTCGTGAGGAGCAAGAGGCGCGTGCCCTTCTACCTCGACCCCAAGCTCGTCCACCTGGCGCTGGCCACGAGCAGCGTGGCGCTCCGCCTCGGCAGCGTCTACCGCGTCGTCTCGGGCGTGCGCGGCGACTTTGACCTGCCCGTGCCGCTGCCGCAGCGGCTGTGGCAGTCGGCGCAGCTCGTGTACCCGCAGACGTTCCACCGCCACCCGGCCGTCAGCTCGATTGGCTCCGACCACCTGGCGGTGCTGGCGAGCGTCGTGGCCTTCATCCTCATCGAGAGCGGCCTGTGGCTCTGGAAGGACGCCAAGACGAGCCCGAGCGCGCGCGTGCCGACGTCGGCCGCCGTGGCCGCGCTGAGGGCGAGGTCGTCGGAGGCGTCGGCGGCCGGGGGCAGCTCCACGACGCTCGTCGCACCCACCACCGTCACGCTCGACCGGATCGACCGCTCGAGGCTCGAGTTCCAGTCGCGCTGCGTGCTGGCGCTGGTGGCGCTGGCGCCCGTGTGGGGCGCGTCGGCCTCGTTTGGCTACTACCTTGCGCTGCGCGAGACGTGGATCGAGGACGACGAGCACTTTAGCCAGCAGCAGCGTGCGCACGCGCGGGGCAGCGGATCCGGCGCCGTGCTCGCCGACGAGGGTGACGAGGCCGGAGCGTCGAGCGTCGTGGCGGCCGAGAGCGAAAAGGTGACGGGCAGGGTGGTCGAGACGGCCGAGGGCGAGCGCGTGCTCGAGATCCGCCAGAGGACGGTGACCGTCGAGACGATCCGCGGCGGCGGCGGCGAGGGCGCCGACGACGGAGAGAGCAGCGACGGCACGGCGTCGCTCAGCGGCGCCGAGGCGGGCAGCCCAACGACGGGCAAGAGGACGCGCACCAAAAGGACGAGGGCCTCGTCGTCGTCGTCGTCGCGCCCGGCGCGCAGGGTTGGTGCGGGCGGCGTGGGTGCTGCCTAGCGTGGCGCTCGTCGTTGCCTGCCGTGACTCGATTGTCAAAGTGACTTGCTCCGTCCCTGCCTGGTCGATGGCGTCCAGCTTGATTGCTCTTCTCTCCAGTTGACGACGAGCGACCTTGATCGCCTCACACTTGCGCGCGCGGGCGGGTCGACCTGTATTCTATCACGCCTGCGCCTGCGCCTCGCCGCCGCCACCGCCACCGCCATGGCCATCGCGAGCCAGCGAGCCAGCCAGCTCGAACCGAAGCGAAGCGAACCGGACCGATCCGATCCGACCTGACCTGATTCGACTCGACCCGAATCGACTCGGTGCGAGAGGTGATGGGCTGTGCTTGCGCGTGTATGTGCTCGTCGAGAGCGACCCGAGCTGCGAGGTCAGGTCTACGTGCACAGCCCCCTCCACTGGAAGCCAGGCGGGTCGGTCGGTCGGTCGGTCGGAACTCTAGCCGAACGGAGGCACATGGCACGCGCAGGCCCGACGGTGGCCGCTCTCGCGTCGTCCTGCCTGCTGCCTGCTGCCTGCTGCCTTCCCCTTGCCCTCCTCCTCACCACCACCACTATCACCATCGTCGTGACTGCAAGCGCAATGAGCGACACCGCACCACTCCTCACCGGCCCTACCACGACGGGCGCGACTCCACGAACGACGATGTCGGAAAAGGAGACCAACGTCTCGGGACCGCTCATAGTCTCGATGGGCAGTTCGTTTGCGGCGGGACCGGGTCTGCCGCCGTTCTCCAACGAAGCGGCGGGGCGGTCGCAGCTCAACTACCCTACGCTTTTTTCGCAGCTCGTTGCGGGGTCTCGGTTCGTGGATCTGACGGTATCGGGTGCGACTGTGGCGAATCTGGTCGACGAGCCGCAGGGGGCGCAGGATGGGAGTGTATTTGCGCCGCAGCTCGATCTGCTGCCCCGCGATGCGGACGTGATCACATTGACGGTGGGCGGCAACGATATGGGGTATATCGGAGGTATGTTTGTCGATTCGATCCCCTGGCTCCTCAAAGTGGTAATGGGGTGGTGTGGGATGTTGGGATCGCTCGAATCCGCCTCGCCGCGCACGGTACGAGAACGGATGCTGGACCTCATCGACCGTATCCACCGCAAAGCTCCGCGAGCACGCATCCTCCTCGTCGATTACATCCAGGTCGTCGGCCCGCACACTCGACCGCGCACGGACGTACCCTTCAACCAGGACCGCATCGATCGGTACCGCTCCATCGCCTCTGATCTCGTCGAGATCTACAACCACATCGCATCGCACAGGAACCAACTCGTCACCCGCGTCGAGCTGTACGACCTCAGCGAGCAACATAGCCTCGGTTGCGACGTCGAGTGGGTCGGCAGGTTCCGACTCTGGGACTTTTGGAAGACGCCCGCTTTCCACCCTTCCTACCTCGGTATGCGGGCCATTGCGCGCGAGGTGCACCGGGTCTACCTCGAAACCAAGCTCGAAGGGCGCGGGTAGGCGCAAAGGGGGAAGGCAGTCACAGCGCGGAATGGAACACGGTTCGAGGGAGATGCGGCGGATCCATCACTTCTGCTAGCCGTCTGGCCCGAATACACATCGACCGAGGATCCCAACGTCGAGGGCAGTAGGACAGGCGTCCTCACTCGCTCTCGCTCTCGCTCTCGCCCTCGCCTTGGCGTTCGCCCTGGTCCGAGTCGCCGTCGAAGCGGGCGAGCGTCTCGAGGGCGGCCGTGTTGGCCCGGACGCGGTCGCCGTTGAAGGTGGCATCCACCTCTCTGAGCCAGGACCGGAAAGTCTTGTCGGTGCCCAGGAGGGCGTCGAGCAACCCCGTGGGGCCGAAGTTCTCCACCGTCGCGTAATGGTGCCAATCGTGCGGCAGCGCATTGCCAAGGAACGGGACTGTCCGATGAAAAGGGGGAGGACGGAAGGGAGGTAGGTGGTGAAGAGGCAGACGGCGAGAAGAAGAGGAATCAGGGTCAGCGGCGAACGAGAATAAACGAAGAGAGGGAAAAGGGACCGGCGGTACCGACTGTTGTAGCCGGAGTGGTGGGCGTGGGTGCCGATGAGGAGGCCGGAAAAGAAGAGGACCATGACGGAGAAGTGTGCGCGCGAGATGACGAGGCCGAGGAAGACGGGCAAGAGGTTGGAGAGGTAGTGCTCGATCCAGTGGGCGTAGGTGGCGGCGGCGGCGCAGGGGGCGGTGAACTCGTGGTGGAGCTTGTGTACGTGGCGGTAGAGGCGCGGGTGGTGGAGGGCGCGGTGGACGGCGTAGAAGCCGACCTCGGTGGCGAGGAGGCAGATGGCCCAGTCGCGGAGCAGGCGGGGCGGCGAGGGGAGCGTTTCGAACGACGTCGGGTTGCCGCGCCACTGTGCGAGCGGGAAGAAGGAGAGGCTGGCGAGGGTGTTGACGACGAGCATGTTCCACACGACGACGCCGAGGATCTTGCGGTACTGGGCCGGCGTGACGGACTTGTGCGGCTGGATCTTGTAGCGCGATACCCAGCTGGGTCGGCGGGCGAGGTCCGAGTAGGTGAAGAGGGCGACGCAGGCGGTCTGGACGGCGGCGTTGATGAGGTAGTTGTGCACGACGAGGATGGTGAAGCGCGAGTGGGTATTGAGCCAGCGGTAGAAGGGCGGTGCGAGCGGCGACGCGTTGAAGGCGAGGGTGAGGGAGATGGTGACGAGGTGCGGCGTGAGGCTCATGAGCTTGGTGTTGTCGTAGATGGCACGCAGGTAGCCCCACTTGCGGCGGGAGCGCAGCGAGGCCTCGGTGGGGGTCAGCGTATAGGCATGGCCGGGGAACGACGAGGCAGAGGCAGAGGCAGAGGCAGAGTCACGGGCGGTGCCAGGTCGCGGTGGCGCGGGTGCGGGCAGGGATGCTGCCGTGGCGCCGGCGCGCAGCTTGACGTCGCCGCCGTCGGTGGCGGTCGAGGTCGAGGTCGAGGTGGCGGATAGAGTCTGGGTGGCCATCGCTGAAGCGGTATGGATCAGGGGAGAGGTGAGGTGATGGTGGCAGGTCGACAACGACGACGAGGGAGGAGAGGCAAGTGGCTTTATGACGATGCCAACGAGGCTCGGCGGAGCGATCCCCTCTCCCCGAGCCAGATATCCGTCGACCGAAGAGGCCAGCAGAGCAGCCGAGGCCGAAAGCACCACCAACCGTGTGCACCGTACCACTTTGCCCCGTCCTGCCCCGCTGCAGCGCAGCCAAGGATTGCGGGGTAAGGATCGGAGGTCGTGGCGGCATCCACGCTGACTTCGGGAGGCGGGGCCGCCGAGCCAGCCGGCCGCTCGCTTGCTCGGTTGGGCTTGGACCCCCGCGTGCGCACGTACGGCTGGCTGGCTGGCTGGCTTTCACATCGGATCCAAGCTGCGCAGGCGTGCAGTGCATCCGAACCAAGCCTTCGGAAAGCGCGGGCCAGCAGGCCAGGCAGTGCCCAAAGGCAGGCAGGCAAGCCACCTCCTCTCTCTCTCTCCCTATCTAGCACGCGCCCACCGCGACGGCCACGGCCAAGGCAGGCAGCCACCACCAAGACGACCGCCACTCGGGCCACCCACCCGCTATCCTCTGCTGCGCCCGCGTCGTGCAGGACCAGGCTCGAGAGGACCAACCCTCTCTCTCCATCGAGGACCTGTCAAGCCCTTTTCGCGTCCTCGAGCGAGACCTTGAGCGCGCCTTGTCGCCGACGGGCTCAGTCGATTCGACGCGTCGCTGTGCATGGCCATGGCCAGACCCGATTGGGCGACGGCGGCGATGCCGTGCCATGCTCCCTAGGCCGCTGTCCGCTCCGCCGGTCATGACGCCAGGACCGCACTAGTGCCTGGCCTGGCAGTCACGCTCGTCTCGGACCCATGCCCATGCCAATGCCTCACGGCCCCGGCCAAAGTACTGGATCGAGTCGTGACTGGCTCAACTACTCACCCTCTTCTACCTGTCATCACGGCCCTCTGGATGGACCGCGAGCTTCTCGCCATCCTGACCGGCATGCTCCGACTGCAGCGCACTGCGCTGAGCCGCTCAGCGTGGTCCGGGCGACGTCCGAGGCCAGCCTTGAGGCTCGTCGACGAGCAAATGAGGCGGCGTCACGGCGCCAGAGGCCGATGGCGTGCACCCGATCTCGTTTTCCCATCTGGATCTGCACCCTGCCTCGTTCCCGCCCGATCCAGACCACGCCGAGCCTCGCGAGTGGGCAAGGAAAAAATCGCAGGCGGCAGGAGGGCAGGCCAGGCCAGGCAGTTGGGGGCGCGCTGCAGCCCTCATCGACAGCGGCGGCGGCTTCAAAAAAAATTAGAAGGCGGCCGGCCGGCCTGCTGGTTGGGGCCCTCCATCTTGACCGTGGCTCGCCACGTTGGCCGCCAGCACCCTTGCCACCATCCCCTCCTGATCGCCTAGCCCTAGCCATCCTCATCGCCATCGCCCGACCCGACCCGACCCGACTCGACCGCAGACTGCAGCAACTGTGTCCCTTGATCCCATCCTCCTCCTGCTGCCCTGGCTCTCGGCGACTCATCCCTGCGTTCGCCACGACCGCTTGCCCCACGATTTCTTCCAATCTCGCACCCCGCCAGTCGATCCCCACGACCGCCACGCCCTTGCATCGGCCCACCCACCGCGCTCACACCGCACACGAAAGGTGGAGCTACTCGATACCCGCGGCGGTCCCACCACGTCCCGCTAGTGCCGTCGTCGACCAGGTCAGCCTCACCGGCCACTTGACCGAGGTCGCCCTCAGCCAAACCCACGACAGGAACGGCACAGCACCACCACCGCACAGCGCCGTCCCGCCCCATCACGGCCTGCCTCGGTGCCAACTGAGGGGCGCAGTCGAATCGGGCTTGCCTGCGCGCCCCGGTTTCGCTGGTTGGCAACTAGGCCCGCGCCGGCGACGAGCCAACGCAGCGAAAAGTCTGCCCAGCAGCTCCTTTGCTCGGCCCCCGCCTGCTCCGAGGACGGCAAGGCTGCTCGGGCACGCCGCAGTGAGGCCGCTTGAACAGCTCTCTCCTCTTCTCCCGGCTCCGCAGGCAGCAGCTGCGGCGGCGGCAGCAACAGCAGCATCGGCGCCGGCGCACGTCCCGTCACGCCAGCCCGGTCGTCTCCTCCCCCCTGCCGCTCCCCTCGGTGGCGAGCTAGGCATCCCCTAACCCACTTCCCCAGCACCGTCGGCGGCCTTCGTGTGGCGCGCCGTCACCGGTCCGCTCGCCCACCATGAAGGAGCTCGTCAGCCAAGATGCGCCCAAGAAGATCAAGCACATCCAGTTCGGCGTGCTCTCGCAGCAGGACATTGTCAACATGTCCGAGATCGAGATCACCACGCGCGACCTCTATACCATTGGCGAGGCCGAGCGCAAGCCCGTCGCCAACGGCGTCCTCGACCGCCGCCTCGGCATCTCGGACAAGAACTCGCTCTGCGAGACGTGCCACCTCAAGATGGCCGACTGCGTAGGCCACTACGGCTACATCAAGCTCGTCCTCCCCGTCTTCCACGTCGGCTTCTTCAAGCACACCGTATCCATCCTCCAGTCGATCTGCAAAAACTGCGCCCACGTCCTCCTCGAGGAGCCCGACCGCCGCAAGTACCTCCGCCGCTTCCGCCGGCCCAACCTCGAGAACCTGCAGCGCACCCGCACCTTCAAGGAGGTCAACACGCGCGCCCGCAAGGTCCTCTACTGCCCAAAGTGCGGCTACACCAACGGCACCGTCAAGAAGCAGGGGCAGCTCAAGATTGTCCACGAAAAGTTCCGCGCCAAGAAGACGGCGGCCGAGCTGGAAGAGTTCCGCAGCACCTTCACCACCAACGTCCGCATGGGCAACGGCGACATCACGCCGCACCTCAGCAAGGCCCAGGAGGACCTCAACCCGCTCAAGGTCCTCGACCTCTTCAAGCGCATCTCGGACGAGGACTGCGAGCTGCTCGGCCTGCGCCCCGAGTTTGGGCGGCCCGAGGAGTACATCTGGCAGTACGTCTGCGTGCCCCCCGTCTGCATCCGCCCCAGCGTGGCCCAGGACGGCGCCACCAACGAGGACGACGTCACCATCAAGCTCACCGAGATCATCTTCACCAACTCGCTCCTCAAGATCGGGCTGGTCAAGGGCGGCAAGGGCACCACCACCAGCCAGCTCGTCCAGCAGTGGGACTTCCTCCAGCTCACCGTCGCCCTCTACATCAACTCGGAGCTGCCGGGCGTGCCCAGCCAGCCCGGGCAGAAGCCCAGCCGCGGCTTCTGCCAGCGGCTCAAGGGCAAGCAGGGCCGCTTCCGCGGCAACCTGTCGGGCAAGCGCGTCGACTTTTCCGGGCGCACCGTCATCGGGCCGGACCCCAACCTCAAGATCGACGAGGTGGCCGTGCCGGAGCGCGTGGCCAAGATCCTCACCTACCCGGAGCGGGTGTTTGTGCACAACATTGAGCGGATGCGGCAGGCGGTGCGCAACGGCACCGACGTCCACCCGGGCGCCAACTACCTCCAGGACGGCAAGACGGGCTTCAAGCGCTTCCTCAAGTTCCCCGGCATGCGCGAGGAGCTGGCGCAGAAGCTGCGCGTCGGCGACATTGTCGAGCGCCACCTCCGCGACGGCGACATTGTCCTCTTCAACCGCCAGCCCTCGCTGCACAAGCTGTCGATCATGAGCCACCGCGCAAAGGTGCGCCCCTGGCGCACGTTCCGCCTCAACGAGTGCGCGTGCAACCCCTACAACGCCGACTTTGACGGCGACGAGATGAACCTCCACGTGCCCCAGACCGAGGAGGCGAGGACCGAGGCGACGACGCTCATGGGCGTCAAGCACAACCTCGTCACGCCGCGCAACGGCGAGCCCATCATCGCCGCCATCCAGGACTTTATCACGGCGTCGTTCCTCATCTCGAAGCGCGACCGCTTCTTCGACCGCGCCCAGTTTTCGCAGGTGTGCTCCTACTTTGCCGACGCCGACCTGCAGATCGACATCCCGCCGCCGGCGATCCAGAAGCCCGTGCGCCTCTGGACGGGCAAGCAGGTCATGGGCTGCCTGATCCGCCCCAACCGCAGGTCGCCCCACCTCGTCAACCTCGAGGCCCAGTGCCGCACCTTCGAGAAGCCCAAGAACGGCCACCCCAAGGACATGTCGCCCAACGACGGCTGGCTCGTCATTGTCAACAGCGAGGTCATGTGCGGCGTCTTCGACAAGTCGACGGTGGGCGACGGCAAGAAGAACTCGGTGTTTGGCGTCATGCTGCGCGACTACGGGCCCGACGCCGCCATCACGGCCATGAACCGGCTGGCCAAGACGTGCGCCCGCTGGCTCGCCAACCAGGGCTTCTCGCTCGGCATCAACGACGTCATCCCCGGCCCGCGGCTGCGCGACAACAAGGACGCCAAGGTCGAGACGGCGTACGCCGAGTGCCTCGACCTCATCGAAAAGGCCAAGCACGGCAAGCTCGAGAACCTGCCCGGCTGCGACCAGGAGCAGACGCTCGAAAACATGATCTCGGGCGTCCTCTCGGCCGTCCGCGCCGACGTCGGCGAGATCTGCATGACGGAGCTCAGCCGGCACAATGCGCCCCTCGTCATGGCCGTCTGCGGCTCCAAGGGCTCCAAGATCAACGTGGCCCAGATGGTGGCGTGCGTCGGGCAGCAGATCATTGCCGGCTCGCGTGTCAAGAACGGCTTCCAGGACCGCTCGCTGCCCCACTTCCCCAAAAAGTCCAAGGACCCGCCGTCGCGCGGCTTTGTGCGCAACAGCTTCTTCAGCGGCCTCACGCCGAGCGAGTTCCTCTTCCACGCCATCTCGGGACGCGAGGGCCTGGTCGACACGGCGGTCAAGACGGCCGAGACGGGCTACATGGCGCGCCGCCTGATGAAGGCGCTCGAGGACCTGTCGACGCACTACGACATCTCGGTGCGCAACTCGGTGGGCACCGTGGTGCAGTTCGTCTACGGCGACGACGGCCTCGACCCGGCCGAGCTCGAGGGCGACGCGCTGCCCGTCGAGTACTTCCGCTCGTGGCGCCACTCGCTCGCCATCACGCACCACATCCCCGGCCGCGGCCTGATGCCCTACGAGATGGGCGAGATTGTCGACCGCGAGCTCAACAGCCCGCGCTTCGTCAACACGTGCACGGAAAAGTACCGCGAGCAGGTGCGCAGCTTCCTCTTTGACAACGTCGTCAGGCGCGCCGCCGAGATCCGCGAGCACTTTGGCATGTGGCCCGCCCTCGAGCGCATGGACGAGTGGGACGAGGACACGGACCTGTCGATGGGCGCCGACAGCGAGCAGCACGCCGTCGTCAACAACAAGACCAAGGTCAAGGAGGCGGCGCTGCTCGAGTTCCTCGACGAGTGCTGGGTCAAGTACATGAAGGCCCGCGTCGAGCCAGGTGAGTTGGCAGAGCAGCCGCGGTCGGAAGCCGAGCCGAGCCGAGCCGCTGAGGCGTCGCGGCGTTGAGAGAAGACCTTGCTGACCCGGTCCGAGCCGAGCCGATCCGTCATCGCGTCGCGCTTTCCTCTTTTCCCCGCTCCTCCTCTCCCTGCTCCTCCTCCGCCGCCGCCGCTCGACCCGTCTGCCCCACCAGGCTCGGCCGTCGGAGCCGTCGGCGCGCAGTCGATTGGAGAGCCGGGCACCCAGATGACGCTCAAGACGTTCCACTTTGCCGGTGTCGCGTCGATGAACGTGACGCTGGGTGTGCCGCGCATCAAGGAGATTATCAATGCGGCCAAGACGATCAACACGCCCATTATCTCGGCCAAGCTGGTGAGCGAGCGGAGCGAGACGGCGGCGCGCATCGTCAAGGGGCGCATCGAAAAGACGTACCTGGGCGACATTGCGTCGGTGATTGAGGAGGCGTGGGCGGCCAACTACACGTACCTGGGCGTGCACATCGACATGGACGCGATCCGCAAGCTGCAGCTCGAGGTGACGCTCAACGACATCAAGTGGGCGATTGTCAATGCGCCCAAGCTCAAGATCCGCGAGGACAAGATCCGGGTGGTGCCGAAGCGCAACCGGATCCGCGTCTACGTCGACGGCGAGTCCAAGGACGGCAAAAACGACGCCTACTACAACCTCAAGGCGCTCAAGCGGGCGCTGCCGTCGATTGTCGTCAAGGGCATCTCGACGGCGACGCGGGCCGTCATCAGCGACGAAAAGGGGCAGCGCAAGCTGCTGGTCGAGGGGTACGGCCTGCTCAAGGTGATGACGACCGAGGGCGTGGTGGGCACGCAGACGTCGACCAACCACGTCATGGAGATGCAGGCGGTGCTGGGCATCGAGTCGGCGCGCACCTCGGTGTACAACGAGATTGAGACGACGATGTCGGCGCACGGCATGTCGATTGACCCGCGGCACATTATGCTGCTGGCCGACGTCATGACGTACAAGGGCGAGGTGCTGGGCATCACGCGGTTCGGCGTGGCCAAGATGAAGGACAGCGTGCTGATGCTGGCCAGCTTTGAAAAGACGACCGACCACCTCTTTGACGCGGCCCTCTACGGCAAGTCGGACGAGGTGCGCGGCGTCTCGGAGAGCATCATCATGGGCAACCCGGCCGAGACGGTCGGTACGGGCATGGCCGCCCTCGTCGTCCCGCGGCCGCCGCTGCCGCCGCGCAGGAGGCTCGTATTCGACCGGTGATCCCCACCTTGGCCCGCCCGCTCGCCCGCTCGCGGTGAGGGGGGCGCCCAACTTTGTCGACGACGGGTCCGACGACGATGATGGCGGCCAAGTGGGAGAAGGGAGGCCAGAGAGAGGCAGGGAGGGAGCGGGCGAGCGGGCGGGCTAGGCCTTGTACTTCTACTCCGATCAATCCATCCATCCATCCATCCATCAGCCAGTCAGCCGGTCAGCCGATCAGCCAGTCAGCCAGGCAGTCGGTACTCGACTTGCCTGCCGCACGTCGATACAGTCGAGGGGGCGCGGTTCACGGCGCTCTAGGACGGGTCAAGTCGACCTTTGGGAGCGTCTGCTCTGCTCTGCTCTGCCATGCTATGCTCTGCCCGGCCATGTTCAGCTCCAATCCGACTCGACTCGACTCGCTCGTCTACCGACTACCGACTACGGTAGACGCTCATCGGCCCATTCTCAGCGACCACGATACGACGACGACGACGACGACGGCCACGCCGATCGGACACCCGCTCACGCCCTCAACTGTCACATCACATCACAACACGTCACGCCACGACACGTCAAGTCGGTCGTCGATTACAACGAGAGTCTAGCCGTCGATTACAACGAGAGTCTAGCCGTCGATTACAACGAGAGTCAAGCCAGCTGCGTTTTACACCGAACCGACAGCGCCAAGAACCCCTCGAACCTCCAAGACCCAAGAACAAGCTAAGGTCCGACCGAGGTGTCGCAGCCACCCAAACTTGACCCCCCGGGCGGCCGGGGCTGCCACTTGCCCCCCCTTCCCGGCGGCGGGCGGCGGGCGGCCTAGTCGAAAGTCGTCTTGGTACCCGTATGCTCGACGATGCCCACATTCTCCCTCTGCGCATTGGCCAGCGCCGCACCGGGCTTGGCCCTCCTCTTCCTCTCCCTCTCCCTCTCCCCCCCTCCTCCTCCTCCCTCTCCCCCTGCAGCAGCAGCAGCAGCATTCTGAGCCGCCCTCCTGGCCATCCTCTCCTCCTTGGTCTCCTTGTGCCTCTTCTCCACCGGCGCATCCGGATCAAACGTCCCCGGCGCCGGCGCCGTCTCGCGCAGCTTGATCCGATCCTCCTCCGTCATTCCCTCACCGGCAGCACCCTGGCCAGCAGCGGGGACGCCCCACTGTCGCGGAGGTCGAGAGGCAGGTCGAGGTCCGCCCGTCACGGTGCCCTTGGGCGCTCCACGGCGGATCGCATCTGCACCGGCGTACTGGAGCACAATCGTGCGCCCATCGAGGTGCGCGTTGCGCCCGTCGATGAGCGACGCCGTGGCGTGGGCGGGCGTGTGGAAGTCGACAAAGGCGAACCCCTTGCACTTGCCCGTGTCCTGGAACGTGCCCATGCGGATCTTGCGGATCCCCGCCCCGCGGATCCCACCCTCGCTGCTCTTCTTGGCCGTCGTCGTCGTCGTCTTGCCCCGGACCTTGCCGCCCTCGTCCTCGGATTCCGAAGACGACGACGACGCCGAACCATCCTCGGACTCGGACTCGGACTCGGACTCGGAAGCCGACGAGTCCGACCCGTCGTCGCCCTCTTCGGCCTTTGCGCGCTTGCGCTCCTGCCGCTTGCGCTTGCGCTGCAGCTTCTTGTCCTCCTTGTCGGCCTTGCGCCACTCTTCGCGGCGCTTGGCGCTGTTCTCGAGCAGGCTGCGGATCCCGTCTTCGGTGCTCTCGAAGCTCAGGTTGCCGAGGAAGAGCGTGGGGCCCGGCGGGTTCTTTTGGCTGCGCAGGATCTTCTGCGCCGTCTTTGTCAGGCCCGTCTTGCCGCGCACCGAGGCCGGCAGCGCGGAAAAGGCCACGCTGTCGTCGACGCCGCCCGCGTCGGCACCGTTGGCGGCGGCCTTGGAGCTGGCGGCGGGCTGCGATGGCTGCTGCGGCGCGGTGCCGAGCGCCGTCATGGCGAGCGAGGCGGCCGAGGCGTTGAGCTGCGGTCGGCCCTGGAAGTCGTTGCCGGACTTGATGAGCAGGTTTCGGCCGTCGAGGCGCGACTCGGAGAGGGCGATGGCGCGCTCGACCATCTCTGCCGAGGGGACGTCGACATAGGCGAATCTGAAGATGGCGGCGAGAGACGGTGGACAGTCGAGGGAAGGAGATTGAGGGAGCAGGGTCAGTACTGCGTCCAGGAGGCTTCGAGCGAGCCAGCGTCTGTCCTGCGTCCTGCGTCCTGCGTGTCCACGACCGCGACTGCGACGGCGCCGACGACTCACCCCTTGTTTGCCTCTTCCTTCCTGGGGCCCTTTGGCATGTGTACGCGCGAGATGCCCTCGATGCCCTGGTTCTCGAGGAACTCCTTGAGCTTCTGCTCGTCGGTGGTGAAGCGCATGTTTGCGACCCAGATGCACCACGGGCTCCTCTTGACGGGCGCCGCCGCCGCCCCCGCCGTTGCTCCTGCCGCGCGGGACGACGACGACGACCCGTTGGCGCCATGCTTGGCAGCGGCGACGCCGAGCTCTTTGCCCTCGAGTCTTGCCTTCTTTTCGAGCTTCTTTCTGCGCCGCTGCTCCTTGTGCGAGAGCGCCTGGACTTCTCCTTCTTCTTCTTCTTGCTGCTGCTCCTCGCCGTCTGCGGCGGGCTCCTCTTCCGCAGCGTCATTGCCTTCGTCTGCAGCGTCCCTCTTTCGCTTGGTGGTGGTCGATGAGGCGGCCGCGGGTGTGGTCGGCGCGGATGGGGCCTCGAGCGCCTTTGCCTCCTTTGCGGCGCGCTTGGCGGCCTGGAGGGCCTTTCGCTTCTCTTTGTTGGTCATGGCGGGCTGCTCGGCCGCGGCGGCGGTGGCGTCCATGACGGGCCTGGCGGAGTCGTCCAGCGGGTCCGACATGGTGGGGGTAATCAGGATGTGAGGGCGTGAGCAGGGGTTGGGTCGTAGGAGACGAGCGAGGATGATGGAAGACTGGACGGCGAGGCCAACGGTAGGTGTACAAAATTTCCAGGGCGGCAGCAGCAGGCAAGGCAGACCTTGTCGCGGAGGGCCAAGCCCCTCCCTGGCCAGGGCCGAAATTCGCAGCGGCAGAGGGGAAAAAAGTTGAGGCAGGCCTCGGGACTCGGGCATGCCCAGCCCAGCCTCACCAGCCAGCCAGCCAGAGCAGCCCAGAGAGCAGCCAGAGCAGCCAGGCAGGTAGGTGGCTGTGCAGAGAGGCGCGCGGCCAGGCAACGCGAGCTGGGCCATGTCGACCCGCCGTCAGCAGCATCGTATCCACCTTGGTCCGGTGTGGCCTGCTCTTGTGGCCTCGCTCTGGGAGGTGGACACAGTCTGGAGCCAGCCTACCGACTCTGCAACCGATCATAGGCATGGACGGCGTCAATCTGGGCGCAGCGCGAGGCCAAACTCGACTCGACTCGACACACACACACACGCAGACGACGGCAGGCCGGCATCGAGGAGGAAGGGGGACGTCGTGGGCCCCGCACAGGGGTAGACACCTTTGCGCAGGCCAGCCGAAGAGCCAGGCCTGCTGGCCGGACAATCGACGCTCCTCGGACGGCGTGGCCTAGCAGCGGTCGGTCACCGAGACGGCGCGCGGCGTGTTTCTTTGGGATGGCCGCGGGGCTTTCACGGCGGAGGGTGGGCCGGCAGGCAACCAATCAGACGGACCTCACTCGTGCGGGGTTGGGTTCGAGTTGGGGATGGGCAGGCGGGGGCAGCTGAGCTCTCAGGGGGTGCGGGCATGCTGCCGAAGCGGCGGCGGCGGCGGGTGGCGAGGATCGGCGCGCGGAAGATAGCTCGCTCCCTCGCTGGCTTCGCGGGGCTAGCGTCGCCGTGTTTCGACGTCGAGGGCGAGCCAGGCCCATGGTGCGGGGACGGCGACGACGACGACGACGACGACGACGACGACGACGACAAAGAGCAGGCGAGTAAGCCTAGGCAGGGTCTGGCCTGCCTGCCATGCCAGCCCTCGTGCGGCGCCTTGGCTTCTTCTGTCGTGAAAGCGAGCGCACGTCGGACCCAGGCCGAATGGGCACAATCAAGGGCGGCCCGCCAACCCAACAACCAACGGCGGCGCACGTCAGCCAGGGCCAAGAGCGCAGCGCAACAGGCAGGGGTCAAAGACGCTTGACCTGGCCGAAGGGGCTGCTGGGCCTAGCCTGGGCCAGAGCCTGCTCCACATCGGCCGCAATCGACGTCGAGCGAGCGAGCGAGCGAGCGACGGCAGCGGTGCCCAGCACCACCCCACCCTGTCTTCGGCATGTCCCCGCTCGCACGCCCATGCCCCTCGCCGTCGTCACCGCCATCACTACCACCACCACCACCATCACCACAACCACCGTCACACATCACACATCACACATTACCGTCGCCGTCGCTCACACACACACGGACGACGACCCGCCCCATACCTAGTCATCTCCGACCGCGTCCCATCCACCACGGCTTCCCTCTTGCCATCCACGACATCGGCCCTCTCACCGCTCCACCCGTGACCGCGCCCGCCTCTCGATAGTTGCACCTGCATCTCCGCTCCATCCACGCTCCTTATCACGAATCGCTCGGCATCGACATAGAGGTCAGGCTTTCGGTCTCGTCGCCCAGTACCGACTAGACGCCGCCTCGCCTCCCACAGAGCCGCAGCTTGCAATCGCCGCCGCTCGTCTCCCTAGACACTCTTCACTCCGCAAACATCCCACCTCCTCGACTCATCCACTCGCCAACCTGTCCTCGGTACACGCGTGAAGCCTGCCCCTCGTCGTCGGCTCACCCCCAACTCGCGCCCCCGCCAACATGGTCGGGCAGCACCTCCACCACGCCTTCCGCTCCTGGTTCCACGAGACCGAGTCGGACGGCACACCCCTCCTCCCCGTCCCCCTGTCGAAAAAGTACAAGGTGCTCCCCGACGTCCTCGGCCAGGGCTCGTTTGCCGTCGTCAAAAAGGTCATTGAAAAGACGACGGGCGAGGAGCGCGCCCTCAAGATCATCGCAAAGAAGCCCCTCAAGGACAACAACGAAAACATGCTCCGCGAGGAAATCGCCATCCTCGGCCGCGTAGAGCACCCCAACATCATCAAGATGTGGGACCTCTACGAGACAAAGGAGGGCGTCTTTATCGTCACCGACCTCTGCCGCGGCGGCGAGCTCTTCGAGCGCCTCGTCGAAAAGGTCCACTACAACGAGCTCGACGCGCGCCACATTGTCCGCCAGATTGTCGAGGGCGTCGACTACCTCCACGGCCACGACATCATCCACCGCGACCTCAAGCCCGAAAACATCCTCCTTCGTGACAAGTCCGAGCCCAGCAGCATCGCCATCTCCGACTTTGGCCTCTCGCGCTTCATCCCCGACGAGGGTCTCCTCATGACCGCCTGCGGCTCGCCCCAGTACGTCTCGCCCGAGGTCCTCCTCGGCAAGGGCTACGGCCCCGCAGTCGACCTCTGGTCCACGGGCGTCATCGCCTACGCCCTCCTCGCCGGCTATACGCCCTTTTACGGCGACGACCAGCCCAGCCTCTTCCAGCAGATCCTCAAAATGCAGGTCGAGTTTGAGCCAGAGTACTGGGGCGACGTGTCGGAGACGGCAAAGGACTTCGTCCTCCACTGCCTCTGCCCCGCCGACCGGCGCATGACGGCCAAGCAGGCCCTCGCCCACCCGTGGCTCGCCGACCTGCCTCCGCTCCATGAGGAAGCCTCGCGCGGATGCTGCCTCAAGGACCGCGCCCTGCGAAACCTCTCGGCCACCCGCCGCCTCCGCAAGGCCGTCACCGCCGTCGAGGCCGTCAACCACCTCAACCGCCTCCACAGCCTGCGCCAGCAGCACGGCACCTCGATGCCCGAGGGCCAGCGCACCCTCCTCAGCATCGTCACCAACATCCAGCAGCAGCAGCTCAACGGCGCGTCGCTCGAGACGGTCCAGCTGGACAAGGACGCGACAACGCCCGCAGGCCAGGAGAACCTCCCCGACGCGCCCAACGGCAACGGCAACGGCAGCGCCGAGGCGCAGAACGACAAGAAGCGCAAGCAGCGCGATTCTGCCATGGCGCTCGACCTGGTCGTCATGTCGGTCTTCCTGCCGCAGAACTGGGGGTCAGCGGCATCGGGCAAGCCGTCGGGCTCGTCCGGGTCGACTACGGGCGGCGCCGGCGGTAGCAGCGGCAGCACCAGCGGGAGGGCTGGAACCGCTAACGTGGCGGATGCGGTCCAGCGGACGATGGGCGGCCAGCAGGAGGAGGATGAGCACGGCGCGGATGACCAGGACGAGGGCAAGCCCACTGCAGCCGCCGGGCAGCAGGGCGGCGACAAGCAGACCAGCGGCGGCGCCGGCGTCGTCCAGG